TGCAATGTATGACCCATGAAATATGACCACAAAAAAGAAGTGGTCATCTTGATGGGTTGTATTGTGTACATAATAATGAAATAAGTTTGCGAGTACTTTGCTATCATACGCCGCATGGAATTCATTATGATTGTGCTGCATCATGCTTAACCTGAAGCCGAACCGGGGCGGACTAAAACAGGGCATTTATGTCACATTGACATAACCTTGGTCGGTTTATTCCTTCCTTGGGCTTGCAGTTGTGACATTGTATATGAATTTTGAGATCCTTCTTGTGAAGGTAATTTTTGTATTACACCCATGCTGTTATATTAATCAGCAGCGGCATCACTAATGGGTACATATTACATCCTACCCGTTCTGGTTATCCGGTAAATTTGTGATGCACGAGATTGAATACGGCTTAATTTATATATTTTTATTGTATAAAATAGGAGGAGGAAAGTTCCTAAGATTGAACCCGAATGACGTGGATTGAAATGATATGGTTGTTTTTAACCGCTTCCTTCCCTCCGCTAAAGAATCAAAGGAATTGGAATTGAAGTCAGGAAAAAGAGGAATGAAATTCAAATAAATGTTGCGAGATGGAATTTTGTGAAGATTAGGGGCCCCATTCCTAAGATGTTTGTTTGAGCCTGATAATAAATAAGGAATTAATTTAATATTGTGATTAAATTTAGTTGATTATGTGTACAAAAACTAGTCTTAAGTCCATTTTATTGTGATATTATGGAAAATTATGTAACATTAATGGGTAATAATTGATACACAATATGTTGTTTAATTGACCCTCCAAAAGAATTGCTCCAAGCTCTGTCCTTCCTCGCGGTGATAGAATCATAATAGCTGTTAGCCGAATACATGTTTTTGTGCTTTGTTGAACTTCGACCTCTCAAGTGTAACTAATGCTGTACAGTAATCGGCTACATCATGACTAACTGCTACATATTCATCCTATGTTCCAACTTCTACAGCTACATTTACAAGATCCCAAACTTCTCACAGAAAGAAAAGCTACTAACAAACCAAAACCAATCTTCTACATCCGGTCAGACTTTCCATTTCCTGGTATTCCGGCGCAGCTTGATCTTCTTCTTCTTCCCTGAAATCTTCCCATCCGACCCGATTGGCAGCTTCCCATGCAACCTAATCCCCTGGTGCTTGCTCTTATGCCCCCACACCCGATACCGGACCCTAGTCGCCACCGCCACCTTCACTTCCTGCGTCACATTCGACAAAGCATTAACCAATCTTTTCCACACTTTCCCGTCCAAACTCACCCGGTCGGTCACTTGGCTCGTAGTGCTTTTCTTCTGGTAGAACCCGGGGAGGGTCTTCTGCCCCATCGCGTCCGGCCCATAATAGAACGTCAAGGATGCGTCATCGTAGTAAATCCCTGAGTCCTTGTTAGGATTGTCGATCTCCAGCACGAACTGGGCAGAGCTGTTCAGATTAGCATTCTCTCTAGTTGTGTTATTTGAAGTCGGGATGGAGAAGTTGACCACCAAAAAAGACGGGGCCGGGGACGGAGGCTGAGCCAGAGAACCAGAACAAGGAGACCCAGGAGGAGCACCACCTGGAGGGCCCATAAAGTAAAGCTTTTGGTCTCGCACATAATTTGCTTGGGATGGGTTCTGAGGAGGTTTTTGGTTTATAATTTTAGGTTGCGTTCATAAAATGTTCAGAGGAATCTTAGAATTGAAGGATGGTAATGGGTGCTTTATGCTTGATGTTGTATATGCTTTGCTTGTTCGGTGCTTTTGTTCGGTTTTACATAACCGCGTTATGCTTTGGTTCTGTTTCGGAATCTGACCTGTTGGCGGAAGTTACCGCCCATCTGCTTGGAAGCTGCTTAATTAATTATTTACTTTTGGATATGAAGGCGTTTCGCAAAGGAGACTCTGATTCTATTTTTTTAACCTTAGCAGAATAAAAGGACAAGGAGTGATCCCATCTCACTCATGCTTCGTTTAATTTTTTTCATTTCTTCGTCTTTATCAATTGCTTACTAAATCGATCGCACGAGTGTTATTAGACTATATACGCTTAAAGCATATATGCACTCTTCTCTAACTCGTACAAACAAGGAAGTATCATAACCTAAACATTTTCTAGTGATTATCAAACGAAGTCTCTTTTAAAATAGACTTTAGAAAAGGTAAGTTATTTCAGCCCCCCTCAGAACGCTAGTAAATGAATAACTTAACGACAGTTTTTAAAATTCTAAACTCATGCATGATCAAATCCAAATCTAGCCATTTATCATTTTCATATAATAATAACAAGAAAAGAGAGAGAAATCAGAACTCTATCTTCATCTTTGATTTGTGGGCAAATGTAACTTCACATTTTTCTCCCCGTACATCCTCCCCATGGAATCAACCATCAAGAGTGCATAAAAAACCATGCGTCGACGTTTCGTCTTCCACGCGAATACTTCATATCTCACTTCAGTCTCCAAAACCATGTTCAAATTGACAACCCCTTCCGCCATCGTTCTCCAAGATTGTCCAAACCTAGCTTTCACCAGCACGTAGCCCAATAGTTTCCCCTTGGACCCGTGGTAGAACCCCGGCACTGACTCCAAACCAACGGTAGCGCTTTCATGACGCAGAGTGATAAGCATGTCACGGTAGTAGATCCCCATGCGCTTGTTTGGGTTGGAGATGAGAAGATTGAAGGCGAGAGAAGTTGAATTTGTTGAACTGGAGCTGTTCAAGGCTTCAACGCGGAGATTGGTGACTGTGAATGAAGGGCTCTTTGGGGTTACACTGAGGCATATGAAGAAAAAGATCATCACCCACAATACAACAACCTGCAAGAACCAACCGTAGATCGAGTTCCCCGGGTTATTCTTCGAGGTCTCCATGACTCTTATCTTTGGTGAAATCAAGTGCATAACAAGTAGGTAGGAAATTTGAGATATCTCTGACGACGCGCATATATATATATAGAGTGTGTGTGTGTGTATGTAGTATGCTCGACGGGATTGAAAGTTATCCATGCATATCCAGCAAGGCTTTTTGGGTGAGTGAAAAAGGATCTTTTTCACATGATAAAAAAAGCTTTCGATTGGGCACCAGGCAGGAAGAAAATGGCAAAACGAAATTAGGAACGCCTTAAGAGTGAAGTGAAAGAAGGGGATTGCTTCGTCTTGTTTAGTGTGAGGTTGCAGAACTCACTGGAATTGCAGAGTGACTCACTTCTTTCATTTAACAAAAACATTTCTTAGTATGGAAGATTGGTACAGTTTTTAATTTGGGTCGTGACCTCATCAAGCCTCCATTGCATCAATGGCTGTAGTGGTGATCCTCGTCAAATGACAATATTGACAAACCATTTCTCTTCTTTGGAAGAAAGTGAGTCATGAGGCTTTTTGACAATGTCATCGTGGTAATTCCAATCATATATAAGAACCATCTTATGTCTAACTTATATAGCATTTGACATAGACATTAATTTAACCTATAAAAATTACTATATTCTATTGAGAGCCTGTTGGCTAAAATTTTTAATTTTTTTCAAATGTATTACGATTGGAGTAAGAAAATTTAAATTCAAAACTATTATTCTGTTGGTAAAACACCTAAACTGAGTTTATAGAGGTAAAATTTTGATTTTTTAATTGCGGTGTTTTTAGAATTTTGGCTGTGAGTTAATTTCATTTAAAAAAATATATAAAAAGTTTAAAAAAAATTATTAGACTTGTTAAATAATATGTCCAAAGCATGACATGGTGACAACATGATTGGACAAAAAAAAAAAAAAAAAGAAAGAAAAAAAGGAGCAGAACATCATCCAGTTTGATGCCGGGTGTAAAGGATGTTTATTGGACTTACGTGTTCTGGGCCAGCTTTAAAGATAAAACAGTTCTGATGGTTCCAAAAGCAAAATTAGTAAAAACAATTAAAGCCATTGGCGGCCGACTTCCGAGCTCAAAGGCTTGTTTGCACTAACTTATGAAAGTGGTTTTGAGTTTTATTTTTGAGATATTTTAAAAATTATTTTTACATTTAATTTTTAAACTAAATAAAAAAGTAAAATCAAAAACGGATGTGAAAGCACAAGGAATGGATGTTTTTAATTGTAGGTAACGTTGTTATAATTAATTAAAAGTTATTTTAGATAATTTTTTTAAAAATTTCTTTTAAATTCAAAATTATCCGATAAATTTTTTTCAGAATATTTTAAAATTTTTTCTTCTTTTAAATAAATTTTAAAAAATCACATTCTATATATCAATTTTACTATTTTTAAAAATTTTATAACATATATTTTGCAAACAAATCCAATTTCTAATTATAATTCACTTCTAATTTAATCTCTATTTTTTAATTTTTTAAAAATATTTACAAATATCGCATGAATATGGTTAATTAATAACAATAAAAAAATCATATAAGTAAAGACAATCTAGCGGATGATTTTTTGAGGTAGGAGTCAGAATTATACATTTTTAATTTTATTTTTAAAAAATTTAATTTAATTTCACTAAAAAAGAAATTAATATTTAAAGAAACTAAGAACTTATAAATGAAACTGGATCCCTTCAAGCTCCTGCTACAGCCAGAGATATTCCTAATTCCTTCCGTATGCTGCATATTTTTAGGCACTTACTGATTTGCCACTACAAATCGGACAAATGAGGACAAAGAGGGAAAAAGAATTATTAAAAATTAAATGATAAAAAAGTTAATGAGTCTTATTTTATCTTACTCTATTATAGATAAACAATTACACATTCTCTTTTCTTTTTTTTTTTCATTTATCTCCTTCACATTACCATTAATCATATACAGCAAAAGTTGAGTAGGTCACGAAATAAAATGTAAGGTGCCAAAGTATGAAAATACAAACATTTTGGACCAAACTGCAAGGCCCATCTACTATAAACAAATCCAAATTAAACCCGAAATAAAATTAACAAACCCAAGTAATCAAAATTCAAAACAAATCCAAAGTACATAAATTTGAAATTAAAATTATCACGAGAAATAAACCGAGCATCTCTTATCCTTATAACTCGGCAACATCGAGCCATCCGGGCCCACTCCAACATCACAGTTGGCGTGCATCTTGTGGCTCTTACTGTTCCACGTGGACACCTTGAAGCGGATAGTCGACGTCACTTCCAGCCGGAAAATTGCCGCCCCATTCGCACGATCGCCCTGGATCTGCGTCCAAAGGTCGTTACTCATCGTCAACGTGTCCCCACTCAGCGCACCGGAAATCTCAATAGAAGTCTTCGGCCGCTGATAGAACGGGAACAACAACGACGTCGTACCGATGCTTTGATCGTGATAGTACACCGTCACCTGCTGCGCCGTGTCGTAGTGAACCCCAATATTTACGTTAGAATTTCGTGCGGTCACGTTGAATCTCACCTGGGCATGAACTTTTTCTGTAAATATCATTGCTATTTTATCAACATATTAATAATATATATTTTAAAAATTAACTCAATCTATTTTATTTTTATTAGGCTACTATAAATTATTAAAAAATTTTAATAAATTTTAAAAAATAGAATCATAATACAAACAACAAACATGATTTCTCATTCTTACCTGGGCCCCTTGGAACCCGACGGCCTGGGCCATACCCGAAACGGAAAAATCCTCTGTAAAAAATCTAGGTCGGTGCGGGCGCAAACTGAGCCATAGAATGAATGTGATGATGCCGATAAAGAAGAGGAGGGAGAGAAATATGGCACAAACCAGCTTGGACACCCTGGTGCTGAGGCTTTCTTTTACCCGTCTCATGTAGCGGCGGGCCGAATGGCGCCGGTGGAAGTGGTAGGTGTCGGAGCGTGTTTGGGACGGGGATTGGACTTCGGTGGGCATTTTTCGCCGGTGGGGGTTCGGAGAAGCAGTAGAGGTAAGGTTGATGAACAGAGGCATCCATGGAGGGAATGTATATATATGTGGAGTAGAGAGTAAGAAAGGAAGCAAAAGAATATTGGAGATTTTGAACGAAGAAAGCAAGGAATAAAGCTCGTTCTGTTGCCAAATTATAATACAGACGACAACTATGGAACTTTGCTATCCGACGTCGCATATAGAGTTTATAATCAAAAGAAGGAGCCGAAGCTCCAACATGAAACATGGAGTAAACTAATTCCACTGCTTGGTTAGCTTGGCTGGCTGATTTGAATTAGGGCTTGTTTGGTTTCATGCAAGTAACTTTTTGGTTTAAAATGTGAGGGAACTAAAGAATAGAAAAATTTAATGGTGACTTGGTCATTACGACTTGTAAATGCAGTTCATTCCATTCGGCTGCTTTTAAGCTTCGATATCTGAATAGCAGAAAAGTATCGGGTGTTGGAGAACGGGCGGATAATTAATGATTTGGAATTAAAAATTTCAAATTGCACTGAAGTGTATTTCCATTTTTAGTTTTTTATTTTATTTTTTCTGATTGTTATATTATCGAGGTGTTTGTCTCTTCCCTTGTTTGTGCTTAAATTTTGCAACGTCTTTCTTGTAATTTTAAATTCCTTTCAATGAATTCTTAAACCTTCTTCTGAGTTGGCCTCATCATTTGCACTGCTCACGTGCCTAACGTAACACCCTAGCTGATAATTTCTTTTTTTACATTGGATTAATTTCTTAATTTAAAGAAGAGAGAGGGTTAAAGATTAAAATTGAATAAGTAAAAGCTATATATATATATATATGGAGAGAGAGAGACACAGAGAGAGAGAGAGAGAGAGAGAGAGAGACACGGACTTTTTCTTTGTGCTTTTATCAAAGAGGCTTATGCACAACTTGTACCCAAAATGGATAATAAAAATTCCTAAACAAAAGCTATTACATCTATCAAGTCTTTCGTATTAGATCCACCTTTTCAAACTTCCCAAGTTCCATCTGCTCCTACTTCGTACAACCAAATCTCATACTGGTCGAAAGGGAAATCGAAATGAAATTAAAGAAAGAAAACGTCAAATCACACTCTTGATCCTCGTAATATCATCCAATTTCATTTACATCCAAACAATTTCAATTACAATGAATTTAATCATAACATTTCAAAAGTAGAAACCTCAATTTTTTTTTTCTAAACCAGTTCACTGTCCCCAGCTTCCAGATTTTGGCCTCATTGTGGTGGGAGAAATTGTGAAGGATATCTTTCACTAACTTTGAGATTCCACCATCTCTATTTTTTTTTTTTCTAAATTGTACCAAATATATTAAATTCTGAATTCTTCGGAAGAGATCAAAATTGAATTTGGATAAGAGTGTGGGAACCAAAGTGTAATTAAACCCGAAACGAAAAAAGATTATGGTCTATTCATACCCTTAATTTGGCAAAACGATCATGTAAAATAAGCATTGCACCTCTTATTTTTATAACTAGGTAAGATCAAGCCCTCCCGGTCCGCCCCGGCTTGACAGAGGGAATGCATTTTATGGCGCTTGGAACGCCAAGAAAACAACTTAAACCGGATTACGGACGTTATCTTAAGTTGAAAAGCCACAGGTCCCCGGTCGCGATCTGCAAGAAATTGCTTCCAGTGCTCCTTTTTCACGGCCAGCATTTCCCTGGTGAACACGCCGTAGAGCACTGTCATATTGTGTGGCCTCTCAAAAAATGGATATAGCAACTTGGCCGTGCCAATAGTTTGAGAGTTGTACTCTAGGTTCACCTGCATGGCATCGTAGTAAATCCCAATATTCTGGTTCGGGTTTAGAGCCGTGATATTGAACATCGCGGTGGTGTTCATGTACCCGTTTTGATTGGCCAGACCCGATATAGAAAAATCCCGGATATGAATCCTAGGCCGGTGTGGCCGGAGAGCTAGCCACAGAATGAAGGCAATGATGGCTAGAAAAAAGAGGAAGCCAAGAAAAATGGTGCATATTACTTTGGAGATTCGGCTGTGGAGGCTTTCTCGGACCCGGTTCACGTAGTAGCGACTCGTGTGGCGCCGGATTAATGGTGGGGCGGTTTGAATTGGGATCCAGTTCCCGGAGGTCATTTTGGCAGGAATTTAGGGTGGGGTTAAGATTGACAGGTGAAAGGTCTCCATGTTGAGAGGTCTTTATAATATTGAAGATGTGAAAATGGAAACAATATTGCCAGGTGAAAGAAAAGAATAAGCCCATGAATGGAGGCTAGAGGGCTTAATGCTCACGAGAGGCATATATAGAGGTTACCTGGAGTGCATGGAAAGTATATTCATGATATGTAAACTAGGTTAATTGGGGTTTTCTCATCTTTTCTTTTAGCACCGAGAAAAGTTGTAAAGTAGAGTTTTCTGAAGTCTTATGATCCCCCCAGTGCTTCTTCAATGATTCCTTGGCTCCAGAGCAAACATATCCTTTTAACTCTTGGGTTCTCTTAACTCTTGAAATGTAGAGGATTATTTTGAAATTTCAGTGTTTGGGAAGTAGTATATATTAACAAAATTTAGCATTCAAAATTTAATTTGATAGTGCAAATTCAAAAAATATAAATTTCCCAATCAACCAAAATAGAAAAATAAAATAAAATAATGAAATGAAGAAACCCCTATCCTAAGATAGGATTAGTCTTGAACTAAAACGAAAGGCGAAAGGAGATTGAGAACTGCTCTGTGGTGGAGGTGGTGGCTGATTGATTCAGTTCATTTAATCCCATTCACACATTCTTGCATATTTATGGTTGGTCTACAATGAAAAAATAACATAACAAAAACTCTAAGATTCCATGAATCTAAAACTTAGTACAGATGGTATAATACTTGTAATGTTGATTTAGAAGTTATGGATTCAATTCTTGGCCGTTCTCTCCTCTCTATCTTAGACTTAAACCTCTAATATAACTCAAGAAATAGAAAGAATAAGTAAGAAATGGAAACTAAATAAAATAAATTATAATATAACTTAACCTTTTCCCTTTCATTTAAATAATAATTTTTTTCTTTCGATGCCCTTAACAGATCACAAATATCAATAATTACAAATTGGTTATTTCCATATTTCAGAAAATAGTATGACAGTCCAATAAATTATAATTTCCTTTGCCATCACTAACATACAATTTTATTTTGGATCATCTTGGAAGGCCCAGCTCGTTCAATCATGTCCTCAACTATGTATTATCCCATTTGTTTTTCTATATTAAGCACATACCATTTTCATGTATATATGTAGACGGGATTTCAATCATATTCTTTAAAATTGGACCAGATTGGTGGGTTTTGGTGATTTAAGAAAATAATAAAATAAAGTTTATATAATAAATCAATGAAAATTCAATACTTAATTTAATCTTAATAACTATAATTTTAATAAATGATTAAAAAAAAGGTCAAGATCCTACAAATTAACAATTCATTAATAAATAAGCCAAAAACATTGGCATGGAGTGGGACAGAAGAAACACATCACTACCAATTCACACCTGGCTATATCACAACAATTCTTGTGCTTATCTGTCTCCCCGTTGTATCATAATCCAAATTTAATCAATCATCTATCTATTTTGTCAACTACTCATTGTCAATGGGGTCTTAACAATGTGCCCATCACTCCCAATTTATTTATTTCCTTAAAAAAATTAGCTAAAACAAAAAATTATTAAACAAAATATTACAGAACACGAGTAAATATTAAATACTTGATTCAATAATGATCATTTAAATCAATAAAAAGGGTCATATGATTAAGTATTTATACCATAATTTTTTAATATTTAGTCATTTTTATAATCATTTTTGTTAGTGTGCTAATTTGTAATTTTTTTTATTCTTTTCCTTTTGTAGTTTTTGCTTTAACTTTTTTTTTGGTCAACTTTTAATATATATATATATATATATATATGGGGCAACTCCAACTTGAAACTAAAGGACAAACATGTTCATTTTGTCTACCAATCTGATCAGAACCTGCCAATGGAGGTGCTTATGAACATTTTTTCTCATTTGGTGTCATTAAACCCAACATCTGATAGCCTTAAACTTGAGGAAGTTGATGATCAAACATGCTCTCATGCAGAAGCTAGAAAAGCTATGATGGTGGTGATATTCACCCTATTACAGGGTGTTTGCAATAATAGCCCATCGAAAGAAATTTTGAGTTTTTTCAATGCATATAATTATTTTAAAGATTTTGTAAAATACGTTTTAAAATTTTATTTTTTTATTTAAGTAAAAAAAGTAAAATTAGAAATAGATTTTAAAAATTTGGGAGGGTTGTTTTTATCTGTGAGTGGTATTATTGTAATAGTTAAATTATGTGTTAGATACTAATAGTAAAGTTACAATTTTTAACTTAAAATTAAATATAAACCGAATACAAGAGTTCGGAGTAATTTGTAAGACAACAAATTAGGGGCGTGTCTGGTAACAACGCAGGAATTCAACTAGATTAAACTATCAGAGTAAATAAAAGTGGATAATGATGAGATCAATTATTGGATTTTAGGGGATGATATCACGTCCAGTCAAAATTGATGAAATTAACATTAAATTAGTAAATGGAAAGTGGAATTAGTAATCCCGGGATACGCATAGTCCAATTGGAGGACCTCGTAGACTCCCCAAGCAGCAGAAGCGTGAGGAGAAGCCGCGTTCCATCCATGAGATGCGCAACAACTAGCTACCTTTGCAAATCGTAGTATATGTTAATGTGTTTCAAAGTAAACCCTTCATTCGCTGCGTGATTCTCTCTCTTTCTCTCTGCATTTGCATCAAGCTGTATGCGACTGCGTAGCCATTTTATTAATATTTGGTGGTTCTTTGGTTTATTTAAAAAAAAATATTAATTTTAGAGTTTCAATTTTTAACTTTTAAATAGACAATAATAATAACTTTTTTTTCTTAAAAAGTCTTAAAGACGTAAAAAAATACTAAAATACTTGTAAAATCTATATAAAAAAATTTCAAGGCTCCACCCACCTCCACACTTATATATATATAGGGTCATGTAGGACTAGCTAGAACGGGTTGAATCAAATTGGAGTATAGACAAAGGAGAAAAAAGGCATGGTTGGCAAGCTTGACATTTTGGGGCCATCCAAGTATCTACAGAATTTCCGTCAAAACATTTTGGTGGGACGTACTATGAAAGCTTTGGAAAGAAATGGTCCAAATTTGTCAAACATTTATATTAATTGGAGCAAATTGGAATATCAATTGATGCTATTTTGTAGATAAAGGAGAGTCAGGTCCTTTAGTAAATAAATTTCAAGTGTTTAATTCGGCTTATAAAACACGCATCACGTCTATTACACGGAATGTATGACCATCATGGTAATTACTTCATATAAAATCACTGGATCCTTCGTTTAAATTATGGCATTATTTCAATCAAGTCCTCAAAAATTAATTTTTAAGAATTTCTCCCAAAAAATCAGATGCTTTGTTTTTTTATTAGGAATAATATGTTTTTGAGAAATGAATTTCGTTTTTAATTTATTAATTAAACTAAATTTATCCGAAAGTGATTTTAGGAAACATCGGACCGGCCTCCCATTGCCTTTTGACCATTTTGTCCAGGTCCAGGGTCCTGTTGTAAACTCGACCCACTAGAGTATCACCGCGGCTTGGATTATAACAAACAACTGTACTCAAATAACGGACGACAATTTCCTTAATTAATTTTTTAACGGTACTTAAGTTAATTAATTATTTTAACAATAAAACTCGGATTTTCACAAAGAGAAATTGTATTCATGCAGCTTCATTTCCTTCACCCGGAAAGCATCCTTCATCTTCTCTCTTCCTCTTTCTCTGTGGTTATCCTCGAAACTTGTCTTTTCTAATAAACTCTCGCTCTCATCCCCTCTTCAACCAGTCACAGCATATTTCTGGAGAGAGAGAGGACGAATCTTCCGAGAAAAGAGACTTGCAAGTGCTCTGCTTTCTTTGTGATTCACGAGAATTGCTTGTTTGGTTTCCATCTGAAATTGTTTATTCAAATCAAAAAGGACTAATTGCGAGGTGCTTGTGGAAATACTGTGTCAATGGATCAGGTGGCCCTCAGTGATTGCCCCATTAGGACCGTTATCTTTTAGAACTGCTATATATCTCTCCTCCCCCCCACCCTCTCTCTCTCATTTTTCCCAGAAAACTGATAGAAAATTTCGGAAAGTTCCAAGCTGGTGAGCGCTGCTTTTACGGATTCCTTTCCCTTTTCCTCCAAAATTTTCTTTACGACTTGGGACCTCGCCCATTTTCTGACAACAATGAACTGAAATTTTCTTCCTTCTTTGATCTCTCTCCTGAGGAGGACTTGGGTTGTGATTCCATGGAGTCAACTGGCAAAGATTGTGAGTTAGACGAAATGGGTGCTCAGAAAATCTCAGTTTCTGGTCAAACCAACAGCTTACAGTTCCCAAATCTCAAATCGGAAAGCTTCGTAGTCGACGTCGAGCGCTTGTCTCAGCTCACGGACAAGGAGACAAGCTCAAATTCGAGGATTACGGTTAGTTTTGTTGCTTCATTTGCTATAGGCTCTGTTCTGCTTCAAAATTTTCAATCTCTCGTTTACATTGTTTAATTGCACGCGTAAAATATGATTGGATTAAATCTTTTAATGCATAAACTCTGATTAACGAAATATATTATGTTGGAAAATTCTAAACTTTCGTTGGAATTTTTTTTTTTAATTAATGAATGGTATTTCGAGCTTTTTATAGTTGAAAATGTAGAAAATAAAGGGTTTTTGGAAAAATCGGAGATTTTCGACCAAACCAAACAGACCTGAAGGGAGCTCTGCCACGTAGGCAACCACAAGCATTATCAACTTCTGAAGCTGGTTTATCTGCTTTAAAAAAGGGGCAGCCATCCTTATCCAATCTTAAAGTTCATTCTTTTGTTAGTACGATTCTATTTTTCCTTTTTCTTTTGAAAAACTCGTGTCTGCAAAGATGCTTCTTTAGACTTGATAAAATATGCTTACACTAAAAGACTAAAGTCGGGTTTGGCTATGAACGAAAAAGTTGCAGAGAAGCCCTCCGAGAAAAAGATCTCAGAGTGAGAAGCAGATTAATTCCAGGACTGGCAACAAAAGAGATCCCAGTATTGCTGCTTCAGCCGCACCCAGAGGTAAACAATTACAATTTCATATAATATGTAAAGCAAGATTAATTAATAGCAATTGTATGTTAATTAATTCATTAGTGGAGCATTTTCTTAAATTGTTCTGGTTAAATGTGATTATTATCTGTGTATTAATTAATGAATCCCACATGGGGTTGGTAGAGACGTGCGGATTAGCGGTATCTTATATTAGAGGGTGTTTGGCAGTTGCACCCTTTAATTTTTTGGCTTTTGGGTTTTAAAACGCCAGAATTCTGGAATTATTTAGTATTCCCACGCATCCTTTATTCAGGGTTTTAAGAACCCGATTTTGTGACCTTTTCTAAATTTCCAAATTGGTAATTTTAGAATTTAATCCTTATACATTTTTTCTAGATAAGAAAAGGACTTTTAATTTTAATAAAACCTCAGAAAGTCAATGCTTTTAAAACGCAGAAACCCTGTCTACCAAATTATTTTGGAAATTTTAGAAGTTCACAAATCCAAACTCTTTCGTTATCAAATAATCTCTTAATATTTGGTATCCATTTAATGATTATACAACTTTTTTTTGGTCACATTTTTGTCTCCATTTTTACAAAAAATTAAAAAAATAAATATTCTAGCTTAAGAAGGAAACAACGATCATTTTCCCCTTGGATTTGTTTTTGAAAAGAGTTTTCTGTTTTGAAAAACAAAAAAAGAAAAAAAAAACATTTGGCAAGTTGTTTTCTGCAAACCATATTTGGGAGAATTTGCAGAAAACAGGTCCAATTTTTATAGAAATAAGAAAAATTTGTTTTCACTTTTCAAATTATCAAAAACCATTTTTTTCTAAAAAATGAAAACAATAGAATTTTCAATATTTCAGCATTTTTTGTTTTTCAAAATATAGAAAATGAAAAACAAAAAACAAAATACAATCCTACGGATTAATGCCAATATATATATATATATATATATATTGGTGTATCTTTAAATGCAGAAGCAGCTGTATCTGGAGCCAGCATGCCAGAAAAGCCTTTGATGGTGACAGGAGGGACTGGAGATCCGGCCAGCAACCCGCCAGTCCAGCACCAGATCACCATCATAACCGGTAACATTGACAGCAATGCTACCGCAATCACCACTCTTGAAGGCAGATGGGGTGCCAGGAGATTCAGTCTCCGGAGGCCTTCCCCTTCATGGGTCCTTGATCCCAGGAGAATCCTTTTCCTCTTTGCCACCCTGTAAGCTCACTATTCATATTTCAGTGACTCCCCGCAGCCAATACTTTGAAGTACATGTTTAAATTTTTTTTATTTTTGAAGCTATTTTCTGTTTTACATAACGAAAAACCCATTTGGTAAGATATTTTGGAAACAATTTTTTGAAAGAATTTTCAGAAATATGTAACAAACAACAATTTTTCCCATCATTTTTTAAAACTATGTTCACTTGAAAATGTTAAGGATATGAACATAATAAATCTCTGAATTTTTTACAGTGTCATTTGCTTTATTTCCATTGTTTTTTGTTTTCAAATATATACAATCAGCATGCAGAAAATAGAAAACAATTCCAAAAATTGTATAAACAAATCTGAGTCTGATGGGAATGTTATAGGCTATATCTCTCACCTTGTGGCAGGTCAAGCATGGGAAGCATATTATTGATTTACTTCACACTTTCCATGGGAAAACTAGGTGGGGATGACAGTGCACTTAATTGGTAGCAGTGACAAGCAATGATGCAATAGAGAAGAAAAGAAGGTAAAGGAAGGGGGATATGATATTGAACATGATTGTGGTTCTAACACTCTTTTCCAAAATCAACTAATATTGACAAAAAAAGAACAAAAAACACAAAAAAGAAAGTGGAGGAGGAAGCACAGAAGATGGAGCATACAGTGACAAGCACAAATGAATAAAGGTGATAGCAATTGAGGAAGCAAAGAAAGCGTAGGTTTTCAGCAAAGTGGAAAGACCAATTGATTAGAACTCTTTAATATCCTGCTCATGATTGGGTTCGAATCCTAGAACCAAAGGTTAGATATTCAACCATCATTGAGAAAAAGAAAAGGCAAGCACAGCCTTCCATTTTAATTGTGTAAGTTAGGGAGGCAGGGTTTTGCACTTTCTAGAGGGTTACATATTGCAGACAGGAAGACAAGGAAACAGAGCACCATGACAAATATGGGCTATCTTCATTAATTTGTAAGTGAAGGATATCACGAAAATCATGATGTGTTACCTTGTGGGTAAGTATGCGTCTTTCTTTCTTAGTTCAGCGGAGCACTAACAGAAAAATTACTTGTCCTCTGTTTTCCCTAATACTTCTCCATTCTTTATGCTTAAAATTCTGTATGAAGTTTCACGTGGGTGGGCAAGAAAATAGAATGACACTTCAAAATACTCAATTTGATTCCTGTTTGCCTTTTTTTTAGAATTATGTATCGTTCTTTGAGATCAAAAATCCCAAAATAAGTTGTATTTTTTGAACTTTTTACATTGAAAAGCCAGTTGTACGAGTTAAAAAACAGAACTGACCTGGCAAATTCTTGAGGTTGTGAGTACTTGCCCCATAAGGCAGCCTCTGATCACGCCTTTCTTCAGGCTTTTTGGAGATTTCAACATGGCTAATCCATAAATTAGAGGAAAGTAAATGTTTCAGTATGCTGTTGAAGCGATTCGGGATACAAGAAAGTCTAGAAAAATTAGTTTCAAATACTCTGCAAAGAGCACCTTTCTTGGTACTTCCCCCACACAAAATTTGAACTATAAAAAATTACCTTATCTAATGCTAACTAAACTACGAAAGTAACTTTCTTACAGAGGAAGTCCAAAAAAGCATACAAACCAAACATTCCAGGCTTAATTTTTAGTTTTTCAGCTGGTCAAAGCTTTTCATCCGGAAACAAATGCCCTCATAATAGTTCAGGTTTTTCCTTCATAACTTCCTTTACCCAAACAGAGGCGAAGTCTAGGTTATTAACTTTCCTCCTGTATTGAAACAAAGGTGAGGAGTTTGGAATGTACAAATGATTGCCGTTAGCCAACTTATAATGATTGTACACATTCAAACACATTCAGAACTTCCATAATTGTTTGATTGCTCATGTTCTCTCTTAATTGCTTCAAAAGTTTGCAGAAAATTTCCTCGTACCATTGAACAAAGCATATATATAATAACTTTACTGTACAATGGCAAAAATCTACTCATAACTGATGTTATGATAACAAGAAGAATTGCTAATCTTAGCATAAATTAACATCCTCCACCAACCATGCCTCCACAAACATTAACAGGACATACCAGATAAAATTTAGATGCACATATTTTTACCAGGTTTCACCTCTTGGAAAAGAAATAGACATCACAGCTAGCTTGGCTCACAATTATATTCTTCATTTTAAACCTGAGATTGGATCTGGCTCTTCAGTGTCAACCTTTTCATTTAAGCATGATTGACGAAAAGAACTTGCAAGTTTTACATTTCTCATAGCGCTTTGAGATTCTTGGTATTGAGCATTTCTTCTTCCGATCATGGTATAGCCTCAGGATAACTGCAGCTGTTTCTTCAATTGCCCTTCCGGTGACATCTGCAACCATAATAACAAGATGAAAATTAAAAGAAGTGCCTCCCTGTCTAAATCCTTCGAAATTTCCTGTTTCTATATTTGTCGTTCCAGGATTTTGATTGGGAAATCCAGGATTTTGAGGATTAAATAAATTCAACAGAAACGACACATTAATTTACTCACCAATAACTGGCCAGACAGGATGTTGTGCAAAAAGCTTGCTGGCATATTCCAGTTCCTCTCTTACATAGTCCATCTCAGAGTAGTTACTCCTTACTCCATCACTGAATCCCAAGTTCTTTGCTCTAGTTCTTCTAATTGTATGCAAAACCACAGGATTTATGGTCAAACCAAAGACCTTCTCTGGATCTACTTCAAAAAGAGTCTTGGGCAGCGCCACACCCAATACAATAGGTATATTTGCCACTCCGTACCCGTTATGAGCCAGATAAGTAGATAGTGGCGTCTTGCCAGTTCGAGAAACACCAGCAAGAATGATGTCTGCCTTGTGCAGATTTTGAGGCAAGGCTCCATCATCTTGCTTTATGGTAAACTCAATAGCTTCAATCCGCCGAAAGTATTCTTCATTAAGATGGGAAGCCCTACCCGGGGCTCCTCGAGGGAGCCCCGAAGGTGAGACACCTAGATGAGAAGCAATTGTCTCCGTAATTGGGCTCAATATATCTGTAGACTGTATATCCCACATCTTGCAGGCCTTTTTGGCAGATTCAGCCATAGAAGGGTCAGCTAGAGTAAACACCAGCATAGCACCCTCTTTGGCTGCGTGCTTAATAATCTCCATTAGCCTTTCTAAATCATCAATCTGATTTAACAAAAATGAGTGCAGAAATATCAGTTCAATCATGGATCTTGACCAAATCAATAGCACCAAGAACATTCTATAACTTTTAGAGAGCTCTTCTCTAAATATTATATCAAGATAAGATTATGGACTTAAGAACCGGGCTTTCCCGCTTTGCTTGGAGCACATTCAATAAAGCAAAGGAGGTTTGAACAGATAAAATATATTACAAAAAAAAAAAAAGAATTCTAAGAAAAAAAATTCCAAAATTTAGCAAGTGCTCAACTGGTTAAGCTTAATAAGTAACAACAAAAGCCCAATGATATTGTCTCTCCCAAGAATAGCAGCATTGAAATTGTTGCATTAAAAGGCTCAACTACTCTGATGAGGACCTCCTAAGAATCCACTCCACAGACCTTTATCAATAAATCTGAGTAAAGACACAGAACTGCCAATTCAATTTCAAGCACAACTGTTAAATACCAAGCTAAACAAATGTCAGGCAGGCATCAATTTAGAAGAAACAACATAAAAACAAAACCTGAGAAGACTTCTAACTTAGGCCCTGTTTTGTTGGCTGCTTGGCTTTGGCTTACGGTTTTGGCTTCATAGTCCTAAGAAGCAGGGAATTGCGCATCTTTAGGTTATGGCATTCAGACTTGTATGCTTTTTAGTGTTAAAAATCAAAAGGATAAGCAAAAAGCCACGGAAACAATCGTGGCCCACGCTTCGGCTGAGCAACACCAGCCCAAGAATATACCAAAGGCAACAAACAATATTGGACAACAGGTTCTTAAAGAAGATATAAATTCCACTGCATAAGTCATTATTAGTCAACCCAGCAAAGACATAGAGCTAGCAATTCGAGCATAGTTGCTCACCGACCAAGCTAAACAAACAGATTATAATCAATTTAGTAGGAAGAAGGGCCTAGTTACCCCCGAGAACAGGTGAGTATTCACGGGATAGCCACGGTCGAACTGTCCCAAAGCCGCGTTGACGGAGTGCTCGGCCGTCCAACCAGAGCCGTCGGAGACCATGTATATCGATTTTGGCTTACCAGCCGCCGTCGGCGTCCCAGCCTCGGCCTCCTCGTCGCCCGTGGTCGCCGTCACCGCCATGGGAGAAGCCGGCGATGTGGGCTCCGCCGAGTGAAGCGGACAGAACTCGTCCGGCACCTCGACGACCCGCTGGGCGGTCTGGTCGAATTTCCGGCCACTGCGTATGGCGCGAGCCCTGGACCAGCGGTTCAACTGGGCACTGCCCTTGAACTTTCGGAGCTGCGGTTCAGGTTCGAAGGTGGCTTCATTGCGTTGTTGTGTGGTCGGAGAGGAGGTTTGTTCTGGGGTATGCTCAGTTTCCGGCACCGCCAGATTCAACGGCGGTTCAGGGAGATATAAATGGCCTGAGGTCGCAGAGGCAAGCATTCTTTTCCTTTCTCTGTAGATATAACTGCTTGGTACCCTTGAAAACTTCGAGCAAAACTGATACGTAACCTAACTGTGGACCGAATTGTAGGCGAGCGCGAAGGAAGGATTAATGGACTATGGAAAAGCCAACGCCGGAGTATTTTAAAAAAGTGAAAATCATTTTTGTATATCATTTTATTTATTTTAATGTTATTTTAGTGCCAAGTGGAAGGAATGAGATTTGTAAACTTTGGAAAAGTCTAGCGGCCATCTGATTTCAATCACATTTTTTAATTTTAAAAAGTAACTATTTTTATAAACTAATTTATACCACAAATAAAAAAATGGATTAAAAGAATTATTTTAAAAAAATTAATATCTAAATTACTTTTTATTAAATTCTTTAATATTGTAATAATAAAAATATCTTCAAAAAGCAAAAAATCACTTATTCAAAAGGAAATGCACGGCTTGTTTTTGTAATTCTAAGTAATGAATTTTCCATAACTGGAGCAAAAATTTAAATTTCCATTTGAAATAAATCTGAATTATTTATCTAAATTTGAAAAAAAAATGTCAGCTGGATTCCAGAAGGTCCGTCGTGCAGCTTTTCCTGGTTTGCTGAATTGGGTTTCCGGGTTAATCTGCTTTTGGGGCCTGTGTTCTTGATTTGTCGGTTTTTCCTTTTGTTGGTATGTTCTTTGTTGATTTCCCCTTTTTCCAGAGAAAAGAAAAAGAAAGAAACAAAAATATTTACTATAATAAATTAAAGATTACATTATATTCGATTACAAACAAAGTAAAAACTTCCGAGAAAATAAAAGTAAATAAAATATGAGATTCATATTTACTAATATTTTTCAATTGAAAATGAAAAAAAAAATTACGATTTTGATTGGTTTCCAACTAAAAAGCTGATTTTTATTAACAAAAAAAAGTTTAGATTTTTTAATTCTTAATAAAAAGTAAAATCTTAATTAATTGTAAACCATGTTCCAGAAAGCGAACTGATATTGTAGAGTTACAGCGAGAGGAACGCACACAGTTTAAGAGAGAGAAAGCCGCGGCGGCGGCTCATCGTTATGGTTACAGATGCGATGAATGTTGGAATTCGTCCAAATGGGCTCCCACGGCAACTTCTTATCCCCCGTTAATTCTAATGTTTATCCATTTTTGTTGTATTACCACCGTCGATTGGATCCTAATCCTGTGGGTCTTTCATTTGTTTAATATTTAATTAACAACCTTTTTTATGCACCGACATTTCATATCCTGGAAATTTTAAATGATAATATTTTTCCTATATGACAGAATTATTTTTCTCGTCTTTCATTTTCATAATAAAGATTTTAATTTTTGGTCCCCTGAAGCGAACAAGTTATAATATTTACTCTAAATAACTAATTTTAAAATTATTGAAAATTTTCTCAAAGTTGACTATGGGAGGGTCGGACTTTTCTCCGCGTTTTCCCTTCTCCTCACCCAGCCCATGGTCCTAGCTAGACCGGCCCGATCAGGCCCGGCCCGGCTAAGCATAAACGCCCAGGCACGGATTGCCCTGTAAGGATGGGACAAAATTTTTTTTTAAAAAAAAGATCCCAACAGTACTTGAACTTGAAAAAGTTCAGTCAATTTGGGCGAGTCTTAATTTGCAATTAATTCCAGAAAAGAATTAGTATTAAGGAAATGAATTATTCACTTTACGATGGAAAGGAAAATGTTGTTAACCAAGTTTAATTAGAAGGAAATCTTCAATCTTGCGATGATTCAGTGCATGCTCAATCTAACCCACAACATTAACATATGTATATTATTACAAATCCACAATTTTTCTCAAGATTTTGCTGAGGGAGCACTAAATTGTTGGAGTTAGATTGCCTCATAACTATCTACTTCATAACAAAAACAGAGAAAGAAACTAAGTCCCTTCGGTATTGGCATTTTGACAACGTAGAAACTTTAACAAGTGTATGAATCCCAGTTTGGCAACAGATCTAAACCAAGTAGAAGAGTGACAATTATTACAGGTTGATTGTCTCACGATCATCTTCCTCGCATGTCAACAAATACTAAAAGTGGCCTCCATTATTCAGTACTAGCAGCCAATCTGGGCATGCTTGAAAACCAGAAACTCATGAAATGGGCTTATCTAGTAGCGCTTTGAGATTCTTGGCATCGAGCACTTCTTTTGCCTATCATGGTAGAGCCTCAGTATTACTGCCGCAGTTTCTTCAATTGCCTTTCCTGTGATCTCTGCAACCACAATTACAATGCGATAGACTGATTAAAATGCCTACTCATCCAGAAATTTCTGGTCTTTTGGATTTCCATTTCCTTTTTGTTTTCTGTTATCAGTACCTGTTTTATGTGTTTCCAAAAAAACAGAAAATACTAAAAATCTTGAAAAGTATGCTGTTTTCATTTCATTTTTGAGCCAAAATAGTTTCTGAGAATTCCTTTTGAAAATAAGCATGTTTTCTGAAATGTCTTCTGAAAACATTTTCCACAAACAACCCTGCCAAATGTGTTACTTGTTTCAGAAAAAAGAAAACTGTTTTAAAAAGCTAATACAAACAATAATCTACTTTAATATTCCGAATTTCTGGACAGGAACTTGAAGTTCAGGTGTCTGGGATTGCAAGGGAAGAAGGATATAGAATAAAGAACCGGGCAAAATAAGGATGAAACTTTTAGCGTACTCACCAATCACTGGCCACATGGGATTTTGAGCAAAAATCCTGCCAGCATATTCCAATTCCATCCTTACATAGTCCATCTCCGAATAGTTACTCCTTATTTCTTCACTGAATCCCAAGCTCTTGGCCCTAGCTCTCCTAATTGTTTGCAGGACAACAGAATTTATAGTCAATCCAAAAACCTTCTGAGGATCTACTTCAAAAAGGGTCTTCGGCAATTCCACCCCCATTACAATTGGGATATTCGCTACCTTGTAACCTTTATGCGCCAAATAAGTAGAAAGCGGTGTTTTCCCAGTACGAGAGACACCTGCTAGAATAATGTCAGCCTTGTGTAGGTTCTGAGGCAAGGCACCATCATCTTGCTTTATAGTGAATTCAATAGCTTCAATCCTTCGGAAGTAATCTTCAGTAAGATGGGATGTCCTTCCTGGAGCTCCTCGGGGCAAACCAGAAGGTGAGACGCCAAGATGAGAAGCAATTGCCTCTGTAATTGGGCCTAATATATCCGTGGATGGTATATCCCATATCTCACAGGCTTGTTTAGCAGATTGAGCCATGGAAGGGTCAGCTAGAGTGTATACCAGCATGGCACCTTCTTTGGCTGCTTGCTTTATGATCTCCATTAGCCTTTCCAAATCATCAATCTGACAAATGATAGTCACCACAGCAAAATGAGAACAAGACAACATGTTGGTTTGAACTAATGCATGAAAGCAGATACTGTATGGAGAATTTTAAACTGAGTCCAGTTCTCTAAAATGAGTTTATAGATGCCCAAAGTTCCACTAAACCCCTCTTTTTTTGTCATATCGGAATAGTCCATTATGACACACAAGTCAAAGGTACTGAGTCATATCTCGTTTTGTCAGGGGTAAGGATCCAGGGTTAATACCATACTATTATATGGAACAACTTTCAAGTACATCTTTACATAGAAGTTCAAAGGCCAGAAGCTTGAATTGTCATGGCAGAGATAGCAGAAAACACTACATTATGTTGGAGGTATGCATGATCTCAACAATAAAACAGAGTACAATTTCGATCCAGAATGATAAACTTAGCAATCCAAAAGCCATCGTTATTATCTAGTTCCTTAAAATTTACCTTCTAAACCAACGATTTAAACCATAGAAATCCCCAAGTCTCAGTAGGTCAAAATTTATTAATTAGGTAATAAACTCATAACTCCACTGGAATTGTGTTTTCATAATGATTAATTGGAAGTAAAATATTTTTTTTTATTAGATATCAATTAATCAAAAGAATATCTCTTGAAAAGAACATATAAAATTATAATAAAAACTTCATATAAATCTAAACCTACCGCACCACATTTTTAAGCAAAGATATATAGAAACATTCCCGGTTCCACACACCAGAACACTCTGCTATTATAGGTCACTGGAAATAGATCCTAGTCCATCTTCATTCTATAAATTTCAGAGTGCGCTCTCCAGTGTGCACTACCGTATCTCAGGATGGGATTATCTTTCTTGCATTTTTTGGCATACACACTAGAACATGAACCGAACCAGTGGAAAATTACATAAAACCGGAACTTAAAGATGAGTCAGGAAATGATTATCCCAAACATGGCCTAAGATCCCTCTCTCAAACACAACACAATCAAAGAATTTCTGTAATAAAGATACAACAGAGCAGGAAATTAAAGAAAATTTCCTCAAGGACCAATCTGAACAAATCATAAAAGACAACAATTCGTGGAAGAAGAAGAAGAGGAATCGACATCATTACCCCCGAGAACAAGTGGGTATTCACAGGACACCCGCGATCGACCAAGCAGTGGTCGAACTGCCCCAACGCCGCGTTCACCGAGTGCTCGGCCGTCCAACCGGTTCCGTCCGATACCATGTATATCGACTTCGCCCTCACCGCCGCCGCCGGATACTCAGCCTCTTCCTCGCCATCGCCAGATGAGGACGGCGACGAAGCAGCTGGCGAGGTCTCCGCCGCCCGAGAGGCAGGTTTCACATCCACCGCCGTATCAACGCGATTCAGCTTTCGCCCAGACCGTACGGCGCGGGCTCTGGACCAGCGGTTCAGCTGTGCACTGCCCTTAGGCTTCCGAAGCTGAGGTTCGGTTTCAGGTTCGGGGATGGCTCGGTTGGTTTGATTGGTAGGAAGAGAGGAGGGTTGCGTGGGGTCGGGCTTGGGCTCCAGGATCTCCGGCGCCGGCGTGGCTGGCGTATTAGAGAGGCTTAAGGTTGTGGCGGCCAACATTATCCGTTTAGTGGAGGAACAGTTTGGATCCCGTGAAAATTTTGATCCGGAAATTCCGACGGAAATAAAATTTTGCACGGTTTTATGTAGTCCAAGGAAAAAAACACAGAAAGAAAAAGAAAAGAAAAAACAAAAAGTCCAAATAATTGTGGAATTTTTTTAATCATATAACCTGGTGAAAGTTGGAAAAGTCCTCCTTAAATTGACTTGTCTAGTGATTATTGGAGCAATTCAATTCAATTTGTTGAGATTTTTTGGACGAAAATGACATGAAAAAAAAATATAAGTAAACACAAATAGAGAGAATATTCTTGGCAACTTTATATTAACAATAATAAATTTTTTATGAAAGTAAACTTTTGATAAATTATTTATTAAAATAAATTAAAAAAAATTTGTTAAAAAAATCGGGTCCTAAAGATCCAATTTCTTCTTTCAAGACCCGGTTTCCGTTGAGATCAAGTATGAGAAACTAAATTCGGTTAAAAAATCAGCTTTTCAAGAACTAATTTTTCAAAAAAAAAAAAATCAGATTCCAATAGATGGGTTCCGATCAGATTCCAATATATTATTATTAATATAAATCTACCAAATTTTATTACTTTGCTTGTCTTGGTTTTTGTAATTTATCTTTTATAAAATATATATTCATATAAAATTATTTTATGAAAATTATACTCATATAATAATGTCAATTATCACCAAATTGGAATGGTGCATGTGACCAGTTGTCAATCACGGGGCGGATTTACGGTGGTAACCTGCCCCCACCGTCCCATAACCCTAGAACAATTTGTAAAATTTTTATTGATAAATCAGGTTTGTAGCATGTGATAATTACAATATTACAATGAAAGTCGTCTGGATTGCATAAATTTCACTTTGGTTCTTGTAATTTTAATTTGTGCATTTAACGTTAGCTTTTTCTTCTTTCGAAAGCTTTACTTGATTGCAGGAGTGATTTTTATCAACTGTATCATTGTTGTGAAGGCACCCACAATCCTTGTAACAATCGAAATTTCATATGATGAGGTTCTTTGCACTTGTCTGTTAAGTTACATGGACTGCCGACAGTAATTATAACATCAAAGATGTAAGTGGGTAATTCAAAAAGAGAAATTTATAAAGTGAGTAATTAAAAAAATTGAAATTTGGGTTAAAACAGATAAAAAGAATTCAATAGAACTATTAAAATGCCCATGGTGACGGCAATGACTTTGCCGCCTTGGTGTCTAATGTCAATGCATGTTATATATCATGATGGCAAGTTAAAAATAATTAATAAATGAATAGAAGAGGAGGAGGAGGAGGAGGAGGAGGACCGGTCCTTGTAACTAACAGAACATACAAGATGCTTTTCATTAACCATTAATGATGGGGAAACAAACAAAAGTATATCATGCATTAAGCACATCAACCTAGGGATATTTCTGTTGATTCTTTTAAGTTTAAGTTTAAGTACAAATTAAATTATATTTTATTATTTATAATTATTAAAAAATTAAAACTAAATTATGATTCAAATTATTTATCATAATTTAATTTACTTTCAAATTATGATTTATTAGTCATCTAAGTGATTTAATAAGTTTGTATCTAACAACAGGGGAAAATAAGTCATCTAGGTAATTTAGTAAGATCATGTCTAGCAACAGGGGAAACTAAATAAGTGATATAATATAATAGTCTTGTTCACAGGTCTTGAACTGCCCAGACAGGGACTAGACTGTCGTTTTTGATCTTGAAAAATGATGAATTGGGATTGAAACTTTAAAAGTTAGTTCCATTTCAATTCTAATTTTGGGTCAGGCCAGTTCACGATTCCAATTTCAGTTTATTTCTAGTTCATTCATTATTTTAAATCTAGTCTGGTTTATTTCCGATTTATTCATAGTTTGTTCCCAATTCATCTATGATTCGGTTTGATTTTGGTTTGATTTTGTCAATAAAAATTTATATATTAACTTATAAATATTTTTAGATTATTAAATATTTTTTAAATATTATAAATATTTAATCTTATAAATATCTTTTAAATACTAAATATAAAAATAATAATAAAAAAGGAGAATGGGTGTCAGTGATAAACTGGATTCTCTCTTAATTGTATTTCGCACTCAAGTTGCAAATGTGGGACAAGGAATAGACCATGGATTCGGTGCTAATTGTATGGACATGTGCAATACGCTGGTGACCTACTAAAAAATATAAGTCACCAAAGGCAAGACATGTTTGTATGGACATGAAATGAGGGATAAACCATGCTTGTATTTGTTTTTTATAATATTTGACAAAACACGTTTATTAATTTTCTCAAAATAAGAAAATAGATATTGTATTATCACCTATTTTTTATTTTTCCTTTACCAAGTGTAGTTTTGATTGATAGTTTTTCTCTTTAATTATTCTAGAGTTAATCAGTGACGTAAATGGTAAATATAATAATTTTTGAAAATTTTGTATTAATATGTTAAAATAAAAAATAATTTTTGTTATTTTTATTTCAATTTTAATATTTAATTTTTTATAACTCATGTTAATGCTATTTAAAAAATTTGAAAAGATGTAATTGGCTTTTTCTTTGGGTAATATAATGTAAATAATGATATCAGAAAAATAAATATTCACATTGTTATTAGTGCCAAGAGAAAGAAATTTGTATTTCACTTGTGAAAATTTTAATATATATATTGATTTTTAATATGTTGTATATTTTATATAAGAAAATTAATTTAAAAAATAACAATTTTTTGTTATAATATTCAATTACATTATGTTTAATAATAACTATTTGATCTTATATTAGAAGCTTGATTATTGGGGAAAATGAGGGTTGACAATTTTTCAAATTATCTCTCATGCGCTCGATTAAAGTCATTAGGGTGGAGATGGATGGATGGTTTAAAACTGTCTTTGGATGTTTGATTTTTTATTTTAACTTTTTTATTTTTCTTTTGTTTAAGAAAATTGGTTTTTTAATATAAAAAGTGTTAATAATAAAGTAAAATCTTTTAACTTTTTATTACACACAATCTATTTCATTTTAAGTTTAAATGAAAAATACAAAAATTTTTAATAATAAAAATTAAACTTTTAAAAGACTAAAAATATATTAGAATTTTTAAATTTTTCTTTACTAAGTCAAAAAAAAGTCCAAAAAAATTTAACTTTTTAAACTGTTTCAGTTCACGGTTCACTAACAGTTTTGGTTCATGGTTTACTTATAGTTCCAATTCATAATTCATACACGGTTTTGGTTCATGTTTCCAATTCATAGTTCACGGTTCACTATTCACACACGGTTCCAATTTATAATTCAAATCAGATTCAAGTCATATGATTCAATTCGATTATAGTTTATTCATTTCAATTTGGTTTCCGTTCCGGTTCAAAAAATTATAAATTAGGACAGTTAATCTCACGGTTCAGAACTAAACCGGACTGGACCTGACTTAATCTTACCGGTCTGGTTTGATCTGGTTGTTTACAAGTCTAGTCCAAGCTGGTTCTTGGTCCAAATTGAACCCGTGAACAGGTCTACAGTATGAATTACAACATTCAAAAATATTGTGCATTGGAAGGAACTAAAAATAAGTAATTGAATATGTAAACAAGTGATACAATTCAAAGGTAATGTGTATCAATCAAACAAGCATACAACACATAAAATGGTTGCAGTTAGTCATTTTCAAAATGAACAAAATGCTGCTATCTGGCATAGAGAATGGAAAAATAGAGGCCAGAGAGAGGCAAGTTAGGATTTCTAGGTATACATTTAGATATATATACAATTTAATTTGGTTGATATAATATTTTAATACTCAAATTATAAACGAGAGCCTATAAAAAATATCTTTTGTGAAACAAATTAATTTATACAATTTGGTCAAATATCTTTGAAAACCCTCGTATTACACGAATGTCAAGATTACTTGTACAAATTAACATGACATGTTACAAACAGTAAAGAATAAATTTAGCCGCCGTAAAAGATATTTGAAATTCCAATTTGTACCCTGCAAAGTAAGAAGAATAAACAAATTCAAAATAACTCTATTTTTATTGGTTGAGAAAAGCCATTACATATATACAATTATTATGTGCTCACAAACCTTACATCCAAAAGAACCTGATTTTTGACAGAAAAACTCATATATTATTGGCTAACATTTCTCAAACAACAAACCTGGAAAGCCCAATCTTATAACCAAATTTTCTTACATCTTCCTGGACTTGCTGTCGGAATTGTCCGAAGCTAAACCTCTTGTATACCGAAGGCTCAATACAACTCTCTATCACTGTCTCGTACGATGGACAGAAGAAATACGCCGTAGAAAACCTCTCCGCCGTCTTGTTCACCACCACCCGGTGTTCAACACTCCTGTAAACACCATTGCTCCATGCCTGCATTATTGTAAGCTGGATTAAGTCTTGGTCGTTTACCTATAAACTATGTGAATTAAAGTCTTCAATTAGATACCCATGTACTGGTATATGTACTCAAAGCAAAAGGTTTTCTTCTTTATATCTTCGAGACCATTTCCTACTACATGCTCACCTTCAAATCAACTTTACAGATTTTTGCATAAAATTTAAAATAAAATCAATATTTGTCAGGTCAGATCATTAAATTTTTTGCTTAAAAGTTGGAAATTGCCAACTGTCAAGTGGAACCTTTGAAATCAACAATGAGGATTGTGAAGGCAATAATAATATAACATGACATGATAAAAGCTCCTTCCATCAAAATTAACATGAGTTGACATATTTTAAGGTTCTAAATATGTTAATAAAAAATAAGTTATTGTAATATAAACACATATTTGAAATTAACTATAACACAAATATAAAAGTGAAAGAATATACCATATACGCCACCAGTATAATATTAAAAGTTGCTGATCACTATAAGGTGTTAAACTCATATGTTGCACTTATCTAGTCGTAATGAACTGTTTGGATTTGTCTCATTTAATTCGATCTTGTTTTCAAAATAGGGTGTTTCTTTGTATGCTTTTTCAAGTTAAGCTTTTATTGCTTTTATAGTTTGATTATTATAAAAATTGATGATTTTTTGAGTTAAAGTTTTTCATTAAGGGTGAAGCTTTTTTTATTTAAAACAAAAAAAGGTTAAAAAATCAATTTAAAAATATATTAGAGTAATTGGGTAAGTTCTAGAAAAGTGTTTTATAAAAAAAATTAATCAAATTTCTGATTATTTTTAAAATTAATATGAAGTAATTTCTGCAAAACCACTTATAAAGAAATATTTTTTAAAAAAATATTTATCCCGCTGTACTGTCCCGACTAATTATTTAAACAATTGGTTAAATAGTCAATGTTCAAAAAGTAAAAAGTAAAGAATTATACTATTAATGAGACGTTAGAACGTAGCTACTTGCAAGAATTGAAAATTAATAATTTTTAGCTTGCATTTAGAATAAACTGATCTTTTTTCTGTTTGGATTTCTGATTTTACGTTCATTTTTCTTTAAATCTATGTCAAAAATCGGCAGGAATAGAAGTTCTCAAACTCTGTTAATTACAGTTAATGATACAATTGTGAACAAATCAAATTTTTGTTGAAGAAATATATCACCCAATATTTAATTATAATATAATCCCAACCTATTTGATCCGAATTAATAATAATAATTTCTAATTTTGAAATTTTATTTATTCTCCACTTGTTGAAATATCTTAAAAGATTATACTTTCTCACAAAAAGGTTGTTGGACGAAAATTATTTTACTGTAAAAGAAAATCCTAGTTGGTTAAAATGTAAATAAAATAATAATAAAAATTATTACAATTAAATATTGAATATTAAATTTTTCAACTAAATTTCCTTTGAGTACTAAAAAGGGGACTTTGAAGCTCAGCTTTGATAAGATTTCTGCCTCTAAACTGATTCAAAAGTTTTAAAACAAATTTGTGAGACTGGCTTTACTTGTTGAACCAATTACCACATTAATATTAAACTAAGAAATTACCTGGAATAAGTCACCAATGTTGATGATTAGTGCTTCTTTGTTAGGTTTAACAGCTATCCATTTGCCATCTTTCACCAACTGGAGGCCACCGATGTCGTCTTGGTGGAGGATGGTGAGGAAGTCGCTGTCAGTGTGCGCAATGAGGCCAAAGAGATCAGCAGGTATTGGACATGGCGGGTACCTGTTCATTCGGAGATAGCATGTGCTTGGCAAACAATTTTCTCTGAAGAAAGTCGACCTGTGGCCCATTTTCTCAGCCAAAATCTCGGCCAGCTTCTGTGCCAGCTTCGAGACTTTCCTGGCAAACTCTTCCATGGCTGAACTGAATTACAGTTAAGCAGATAAGGGAAATCTAGATTAGAAGAAGTAGCAAAGAAACCACTCCCCAAAGCAAAATCCAAAATTAAAAAAGGCAGAAATTTTATTAAAAATTTAAGAAGTAACCCATATATATTTTTTCACTTCAGAAACCCTAAAAAGAGAGTTTCCGTGCGGTTGGATGATTTCTAAAGCCTCGGACTTGTCATTCTTTGGCAGGGCTTTTAACAGGCCACCCACATGGAATGCCAAATCCCAGGCGAGTGCCGAAAACCAATTCCAGAAATTTGATAAATTCAAATGCAGTAACTATTATTTTTGTGCATGTTTTTAAGCAGTACCCAAATGATTTCACTTTGGTTACTAAACAGATTCCAACTTATTAAAGGAATATGGAGCCGCAGTGTCTTTGGATTCCATGTATAATCTTGCCTTGCCCAATTAACATGCATGAATCGAGGGCTTAACTTAATGATAACAACCACTTCGTTTTAAATTCTTTATTGGAATTCGAATCTTTTTAAATTATTTAAAATAAAAAAATTAAAATGTATTATCCCCTTTTACCTAATATCCATCTCCAAATCCCAAAAACATCTGGTGAGTTTCTGGATAAACCTCAAGCATTGCCATGTTAGACGACCTAACAATAAACGATATTGAGGGTACATGACATGGATCCTTTCTTAATACTCGAATTTCTATGCTTTTTTGGGCATATATCAATCCAGTGTTTAATTAAAAACAGGCACTCAATTTGATTAATAAAACCAGCAACCCAAAAAAATAAGCTAAAAGAAGTAATTAATGTAATTAATTTTTCTCTTTTTAATTTGTTGTAAATGTTTGGGTGGAGGCAAACGTAAGATTAGACTTACAATTCACTGAAGATCCAAGAGAATGTGCTTTTTTGATCGAATAATGTTATCTCTATCTATTTCCTCTAATAAAGTAAAGAAAAGTAAAAAGATGGAGAAGGAGAGAGAAACATATAAGCACGGATCATACATTTAATGCTATCTCCATCAATTTCCTCTAATAAAATAATGAAAAGTAGAAAGATGGAGAGGGAGAGAGAAGCATGTAAGCATGGATCATACATTTAATGTTATCTCTATCTATTTCCTCAAATAAAATAAAGAAATGTAAAAAGATGGAGACGGAGACAGAAGCGTATAAGCATGGATCATACATTTAATGTTATCTCTATTTATTTCCTCTAATAAAATAAAGAAAAGTAAACAGATGAAGGAGAGAGAAGCATATATAAGCATGGATCATATATTCGAGAGGCTTTTGTGAAGTACCTGAGACTAGAGTAGCCAGACATATTAGAAAGAGGAACATGAAACGCTTCAGACCAAGACAACTGTCTGAGGCTGGTGGCTGAAGGCGTCCCCCACCGGTAGCTCCCGGCTGCCAACTTCATCTTCCAGTCGTCAGACTTCTCTCGGAACGGCCGCCTGAAGACCCTCGCCTGGTCAGCCCTCATTTTCTCCAGAACCTCACTTGAAATCCCATGGCTCACCACTTGAAAAAACCCCCACTCTCTTGAAGCCATCGCTATCTCTCTTTCGCACTCTTCTCTCTCCTCTTCCCCACCGCTTAACCGCCGGAGATCCACCACCGGCAGCTCACACTCCTCCACGATGACGTCATCATTCTCATAGCTAGTGCAGCTTTCGAGGAAGGTCTTGTAGGTCTCTTGAAATGGTGGCTCTGATGAATCCATGCTTAGGGGCTGAGAAGAAGAGATCAGAGGGGATTAATTAAGGAGTGATTAAATCGAGTGTAAGGTTTGTCTTGATTGATGAAACAAATCAAGGTTTTCAAGCTGTTTGGTGGCGAGGACGTTCTGGGGGGATTAATGACAAACACAATGGAATGAGAATACATATATGGGCACACATGTTTCTTATTGTTTGAGGTGTCGACGAAAACACTATTGTCCCTTTTTTTCAATATTTGGATTTTTATAGAGAAGTTTTTTCTTTTTTAACAATGAATGAGTGGAGGAAAGAAAAAGGGGTCGGGCTTGGGCAGGGATTGAAGCCCGACCCCAACGAGCAAACTGAAAATTCCCGCTCAACGAAGCTAATGATGCATGTCACAAAGAGATGCACTACTGCAAATATAAGCTAACCAAATACCTAAGTTAGAGGAAGGATAGGAGTTATAGTCGAATTCACAATTTCAGATAAATTTTATAAGTGTTATATTACTTTAATTAAATTTTGAGTTATATTATTGAATTCTAATGTTGCATATTTTGTGGAGAGAGAGAGAAAGAGACTTTGGGCATGTATAGGTTTTTAGAGCTCGACACAACGTTGAATTATGCGCATAGTAGTTAGGAATAATATTTCTTTTTATTAAGATATAAATGAGTAAGGCCGACATAGTATATGGACAATACAAAATGTGGACTTCAGCTTTTAATGGGAATAGGAATCTCCTATTTAAATATAAGTTAGAAATAATTGAAAGAGAAGATTAATCATTAGGCCATGGTCCACAAAATATGAACATATAGTAATACATATACCTTTTATAGCATTGCTCCATCTTTTTATAATAAAATATATTTAATATTATAAAATATAATGAATGAGACACGCAAAATATGAACTTGATATATGGTATCTTTGCCTCCATTCCTTAAAAAAAATCTTTGCGAATACATTATCATTGCTCCATCTTTTCTCAGAGAAAAAGGTGAATCTATAATTGAATATCACATCACTATTAATCATAAGATAAAACTCGAATTTTTGCAACATTTTAAATGGCAAAACTCTCTCGACTTTGGCCGACAAGCTAACATCACTCTATTTTTTTTATCTTAAAAATATAAGGCATCTAAAGAGATAATAAATATCACAACACACTATTATACATATATATGAATGAGATCCACAAATTACCTATTGTTACAATTTCTTCCCTCCAATATTTCTATAAAAATCTCTTTAACTTTTATAAACAAAATAATTTTTTTCATCCTTTGTCAAAAAAAAAAGATATTTATTAATACAAACAGTTGAAATATCACGTCAAATTTGTATATTTCCCTCTCTAATGGCATGAAAATCTCATAATTTTTGCACATGAGTTACTCACTATTCCATCTTTTTCCAGAGTCAAGGAGACAAACACCACGACACATTATCCTGTTATCCTGATAATGTTTTTGATGTTACATTGTAGGGCTAGGCACATCTCCTTCAAAGTACAAAAAGCAAATTGTGTGGAGAACACCCATAGATGTAGACCTTCTTGTTATCTTACCCAACTTCCAAGACCATATGCAGGAAGACAACTTCAGCCTATTGCTTTACATTTGGAAAAGTAACTTTTTAAGGGGACGGAATTTTTATCTTTGGAGTTCTTAGACAATACAATATAACCTACTTGATACTTTCACTCCAAACCAAGCCACTTAACCTAACATTAAGACCCATAATTTACCCCTACATCCTTTAATATGACTAGATTTTACATATAAATGTCATCTTAGGAAACCATTTACCTCACCTTCAATGCTAATGCATAAAATTAAGTCCTTATTTCGTATAAATTTTAGAAAAAGAATTCTAGGTTATAAAACACTTTAAATTTGAATTTTTTCATAACAGTTTAAGACAATTATGTGATTTAAATTATGCACTAACCATCTTATTGACAATGATTCTCAATTTGATTAGATTTAAATGAATGAAACCTACACAATTAAACTTGATTCGACTTTTCCTCTAGCCATGCATTAATAAAAATCTCAAACTTCTATAATTAAGTTAATATCATTCCATCTTTAATTTGAAAAAGAGTGATTACGGAGACAATTGACCATGGTGCACTCACGCCAAATTATCTAACAAAAATGAATGAAAATCACAAAACACAGACTTTATAATACCCATAACACCATCTTTGATTAAAAAAATAAAGATTCAGAGTAACACAATTGAACATCGTACCATAAATATCAAATATAAATGAATCAAAATCACAAAATGAAACTTAATTTACAAAACATTCACCTCTAATCACGATGAAAATCTCGTAACTTTCAGAAATAAGTTTGCGAATCAAAAAAATAAGGAATCAGAAAAGAGACTATAAAACACCAAACAACATTATAGGATACGAATGATTGAGAACCACAAAATTTAGACATTGGCATTACTCCATCTTTTCTTAGATAAACCAAGGATTGTGGAAGACAAATGAATATCACCCCACGTTATGAGATCAAATGAGCAAAACCAACTTTCCAAACTTCCTATTATCGCCTCTAGTGGTTAGTGTATATCGTGTCTGGTGTTTGGGGTCTTTTCATGTTTTCTTGGGGGCAGGTGATCGGAGATTCATTTAAGACATATTAATGATCAATGTATTCTATGCTTTTAAAAAAATAGAAGTATCATTGCCTATTTTGATCAAAAAAAAAAAGAAGGGCTTAAACGACAACTAAATTTCACAATATCTTATCCAGAAAATATTTTGGATGTTACCTTCTGCACTGGCATGTCTCCTTGAAAGTGCAAAAGCAAATTGTGTGTGCGGGGGGGAACCCATGGATATAGACCCATCTGTCCATTTTTCTTTACCTTGATTAGAAAAAAAGAAAGAAAAAACAACTGTACAAAGCTAGGAACTCCAGTTATCTTAGCATCGAATTTGCTTCAAGTTCATCTAAGAAGGAAGATTGTTTCAGCTACTTCTTAATGTAGTCAATATATATGTTGGTTATAGCTTTCCCTTTAAATTTAGAGCAATAGTTAACTTCTAATGGAGACAAGAGTCTTAATCTTGGAATTCTTATGTAAACCAAGAGACTTATATTAATTAGGGGTCTATAAATAATCTAACATATGTTAACCCCTATACTTTTGAATGGGTTTAAAATATAAATGTTATCTTAGCATATACACCATTTATCTCACATTATATATTGAAAGTTTATGTCTTATCATGTTTTAGAGAAAACTGTTATAAGAGATAGTAAAAATTATCAGACTTTAATTATGATTAGACTTAAACGAAAATAAAACATGTATTAAAAGAGGAAAATTAATTAAACATCATTCCCCGTTATTCTATTATCATGATAATGTTTTAGACGCCATTGCAGCTTTAGCCATGTGTTTTTCAAAGCACAAAAGCCGACTGTGTGGAGAGCAACCAGGTTGAATTCATAGAGGAATTGCTGTTTTCAGTTCAGAGTACAACCACTGGCTGCACATGCAATAGTCAAAAGTTGTACAGAGGATGACTTATAAGCAGCTTTTTGTCTATTTCGCGCCAGCTAGTCCTTTATATTCTGGACTTTCTTGTTCTTGCTGATGCATTGCATCCAATTAATGAGCCTCAAAAGGGTCTACAAACTCGAAGCAAAAATCCACCTTGGAATTCATGAAACAAGAAGACTCCAACTCATATATGTTATTTGGTTCCTCTCCAAAGCTACTAATTTGGACTATTTTGAAAAAAATTTTATGGAACCATTTGCTATTATTTTTAAAAAAATTTAAAAACCAAAAAAGTACTGAAAAAATGTTTTCAAAAACTATTCTTTAATGTCAAATAATTAGCAAAAGAGTTTTCTGAAAGCAGCCTTATTTTTAAAAACAAGAAGAAATTAAAAGGTAGAAAATATAACCCTATCAATGACTAAAGAAATAACTATTTACTGGTGGTATGTTTGAGATGAATCACCCACTAATGACACATGTTTCTCTTATCAACTTGTACTTGAACTTTTAACGTTGGCCTCATTGATTATATATTTTATTTATTTATTTTTGTATCTGTTCTGTTTGAATATCTTCTTTGTAATCTCAGTAGAGTTACAACAAGAAGCTAAAAGGATGTTTATCACCTTGCATGTATACGTATATATGCATCAAATATTAGCATTTACTCAAAATTCAAAAAACTAAAAATAAAAAGGAAGAAAAACAAGATTTGTTGGTTCTCTAGAAGGATCCGGTAAGTTCCACAGCCGGGTCAAAAAATAAGCTGATTTCTTATATTTTTCTAAGCAGACCAAAAAAAACCCACAATATAAAAGCAACATTTTAAATCTATCATGCATGATATGGCAATTTTTTTGTATATTCTTTGGGATCTAGTTCCCTAAACTGTTTCGGAGCTTCGGGTCGGTGGGCCATTCCAGCCACGTTCTCGGTGGCTGATAGATGAAATTAATTTTTTGTTCGGGACCAATCAATTATAAGGCCTTATGGGAATGCTCAAAAGTTACTTTTGTTTCTTTTGGATAGATGTGAACATGAATTTTACAAATATTTAAATTTAATTTTTGGTTATTGAAAATAACCAAAAAAAAAAAGAAAATAGTAGTTTTTCTTTTCTGTCTACTTGCCTGGATTTGATCGCCATATGCTGAAAAATTAGCTGGCTCTAGCATTGCCTTCCCCAGTGCACAGTTTGGTCCTGCATAATGAGGAGTGTAAACTTAGAAAAACTGTTATGCTGGGGAGCCAAAAATGAAATCATTTTCATGTTCCGTGTTTGATTGTTTGGAAAAAGTCCGACTGTTTTTCTTGTTTCGGCTGTTTATAATTAAAAAATTAAGTGCAAACAAAATTTCATAAGCCTTGTTTCCTTCTAGGGCCTTGAGAGAGCTTTTTCGGGTTTTTTTTTCCCGAAAGGTTTAAAGTGTTTTAGGTTTTAAAGAAATAAAAACTGCCCCTTTCAAAAAAAACCCTA